TATAGGGCCTCATCTGATCTGAGGTCTGCTTCTGATTTCCTGCCTTCTCCTGTCTACTTGTTCTTTACAGTGCAGTAATGCTGTCCTTGAATTTACTGTTAAAAATAAAAAAAGAGGGCTGGGGATTTAGCTCAGTGGTTCTGCTGCCTGTCTTGTAAGCGCAACGTCCTGAGTTGGATCCCTGGTACCAACAACAACAACAACAACAAAAAGCAAGCAAGTGGAGAAATACTGTAAGACTTAATAGAACACTGACAAGGGAACCAACATGCAAATGATGGGGATCTTAGAAGGAGCACAGAAGAGAAGAGAGAAAACTCAAGCAGGCCAGCCACATCCTGCCCAGAGGCCTCATTTGCTTTTCACTTTTCCTTGACCTACAATTCTTTTCCCTCTGATACCCACACTGTATATTTCCTATTTTTCTTTATTTTTACTCACATGCAACCTGACTTACCAGAGAAATGATACCTTAATCTATTGCTAGAAAATAATTCTGGCCCTCAGTTATGTCCTTTCTCTTCATTATGCCACATAATGATGATTCAATGTTTACTTTTTAAAGGATATTGCTTATCTCGTCTTCAACACCATCTAGTTTCCATGGAAGTGGATATTTGTTGGGTGTGCTATTATTTCTCTTTCAGTGTGTGGTGCCTCATATATGGAAGACTTTCAATATGGATTAAATGAACAAACAATGAAAAAATTTTGAGGAGTTTTAACCTAGGGGATTGACAATTAAATTTGGAAAAGTCATTCTGGCTTCTGTATTGAAAATGGATTAAAGATGATCAAGGGTGGGTCCAGGAGTTCTCTTGGGTACTTGTGATCTCCAGTGACGGAACATTGGAATTGTTGCTGATGGTGCTTTTTTAGCCTTTCAATAACATGTATGTTGAAAAATCTCATTTATTTGCACACTAGACTCTGAGCCAGAAAATGTGTTTGCTGATTCTTCCAGCACATGGACTGATGCTGACATTTTCCCTTTGGGCCTCACTAGTTCTGGGTAGCTTGCTGTTTACTGTGTTTCCACAGAGCTAGACTTGCTGGGGCTCTGGTGACTGAGGGAGTCCATGGTAATGGCCAATTACAACTGAAAATGCTCAGAGTTTCAGTTCCTAATTTACCCATAGCCACGAGCTAGGCTATATCATGCTATCTATAATTATCAAGCCGATTTAGCACCTCAGTGCTATAGTGCAAAGTAAGACTGCCAGAATCTCAGACCCCAACCTTCAGGGTGCCAGCAAATTGAATCGCTATAGACAGTTTGTCTCTTTGGAAGGCAGGAATCAGTTCATGCCATTACCACCTCTAACATTCTGAATGAAGATCACATCTTTGTATGATCTAGGCTCCAATTAGCCTAGATTGTGTTCAGCCATTGCCAGCTTTATAGTAGTGTATGCAATAGAGAATCAACTAATGGTAGCATTAATAGTAGCTTTGCTACTCATATGCTGTAAAATGCAGAGATCAGGCTTAGAATTTTAAAATATAATTATGTTCTTTACTGTGAGTAAATTCTAGTTTATTAGAGGTATGATAATATAAATGTTTAAATAAAAAAATACAGTAAAAGATACATTGCCATTAAGCCTTCTTAAAATACTTCAAACATTTATGCCATCATTTTTGGCAATTTGTCTTTCACTGTAATAAGTTTTAAAAATATTTATAAATGTATATATAAAGATTTAAAATATATAAATGTATAGTAATATCTTAACTGAATACTGCTGATGCAAATTATAGAAAGTATTTACCTCTTACTATCTCTTAGAAATGAGCTGACCTGGAATTAGTGCCATATCGGCTCTCTCATCTCAGTAATAGAATGTTGATTTAACATTTGAATACCAATCAGTGTAATTCACCACATTAACAGACCAACACCAAAAACTCCTATGTATGATCATTCAATGGGCACAGAAAAATAATTCGATAATATATCAAACTGGGATAGAACTAAATTACAGAACTAAATGTATAACCTGGACCCATAAACCTTCTAGAAGAAAACATTAGAGAAAACTTTTGAGAGCTTGAATTAGGCAAAAATTTCTAATATACAGCATTCAAAGCATGATCCATAGAAGGAAAAAAAAACCCCGATAAATTGGAATATATCAAAATTAAAGTCTTCTTGAGACAGGCAATAAATTAGAAAGGCAAAGCTCAGACTTGTAGAAAATAATTCAAGTTATATATTTGTTAAAAGAGTTGGACCTATGGTTGTATAAAGAACTTTAACCTGTGCGACAATGGGCAAAAGTTTAAGTTGTGCAATTTACTGAAGAAGGGAGATGGAAAATAAGCACACGAAAGAGCTCGACATTATTATTCATTAAGGAAATGCAAATTAAAAGCACATGGTGCTGTTATATATCCACTAGAATACCACTGGCCATACCAAGTGATGGCCAGTACATGCAGCAACTGAAATTCTTACACATTGCTTGCAGCAGTGTAAAATGGTACAACTACTTCAGAAAATTGATGATTTCTTTTAAATAAACACACATACTAGCTAACCTGTGCATTCTAATCCTTGGGATTCCTGGAAGAGAAATGAAGCATTTGTAGATATAGTAACTTGCACATGAATGTGATGGCAACTTTTATTTGCCGTGACTAAAAACTGGACGCAATTCAAATAGCTTTCAACAGTTGAGTAGGTAAAAAAATAGTGGTATATCCATACCATGATGTACTACTCAGCAGTTTTTTTTAAAAGAACCATTGATACATGAAATAATATGAATGAACCTTAAAATAATTATGCTGAGAAATAATAACTGGACAAAATAGAATATGTAGTGTATGATTTCATTTTAATGAAATTCTTGATAGTATAAACTAACATATATTGGCAGAAACTAGATCAGTAGGAGCCTGTGGGTGAAGGGCAAATCTTGTAGGGACAGGTTGCATGGGAATTATAGAGAGGCACCTGGGAACTTTGTGAGATGAAAGATATGTTTATTTTATTAATGTTTTCTGGATATAGACATTTGAAAACTCTTCAAGCCATACATTTTGAGTATATGCAGTTTATTATATGTCAGCTATATTTAATAAATACAATGTATTTATTAATAGTAGGACAGTGGAGCAAGATTGATACGATGAATTTATCCCGATCTTCCATATCCTGAAATCTGTTATTTATTTATTTTTTAATGAAGAGAAGGCAAAGTTAAAATTAGAAGTAGAGTTTAGGGTCTACTTGAAATTGTTTTGTGTAACTTTATTTGCTCAGTTAATTGTCTACAATGAATTATGATTGTTAAGATAACAGCTTTGTATTTAAATACAGAAGTGTTTTCAAACACGGACTTTACAAAAATCATCTATGGAAACTTAGATTTGAGGCTTTATTCCTGGGGGTTCTGAATTACAGGTGTGGTTCTGTGTAAGGTCAGCAAGCTTCCCTTGTGATTTTGATATGTGTAGCCATAGACCACTTTTGGGGATTGCTTGTTAACAGTATATTTCACATCAACATTACATGAACCTGAATAAATGCTGTGAACCACTGGTGCCAAGCTGAAATTGAATAACCTTGTGTATATAAACCTATTAGAGAGCACAGTTTACTTACTTGGAGAGGGCAGCAAGTTTGCATTTGTGTGTTGGCTGATATTCATGGTGCATACTCTTAATAGAAAATAAGTGTGCTGGTGCTAGAAAGAATTAAGATTCTCCTTTTCCTCTTCTGTCTCCCCCCTTCCTCCTTTTTCTCTTCTTCACGGTGGGTGCAGACCTAGATCTGGTGTTTTTTTGTATCATGTGTTGTAGGTCATGCTTTGACCAAGCCTTTCAATAGTGAAAGGGCAGACAGAACAGGGAGAAAGAGCCACTTTCTATTTTATTGCATACCTCTAAAATGTAAGCACACAGAGCAACATAGTTCACTGAAACATAATTCAGCTGAACATTCAGTGCAGTTTGACATCATGGAGAGTAGTAACACCTTCCTGCAATCCATTAATTTGTGCCTTTCTAGAGATGGTTTATGTCATCCATCCAGTACTTATGAATTGCCAAGAGGTGGTGTTCTATATAGAATTTTTCTGTTAGAAATAATACCATAGTGCATCATTTGAGCCATCTGCTTACTGACCTGGTCCCATCATGATCACCGTCATCAGCAAGCATGATAAGACTGACAGCTGTTGTCTGGGGCTGTGACATAAGTAAGAGCTGTGTAGCACAAACCTCTGGGTCCTCTGGGGATATGCTAACCAAGAGTGAAATGGCTGAGCCTAAGACCCTGAGCCTGCATGACTACATATATCCAATATGGAGCACAGCTTTGAGGGGTAGTGCCAGTATTAGCCAGGCTGCGTTGATTTGCTTTAGAAAAAAACAGCAGAGTTTTTATTGCAGCCAATATTATAATGTGGATCTTGAGTATACGGTTTGACAATTGCATTGAATGAAAGTTGTGAATGAATTCATGCTGTAGATCACAGCACACCATTGACTCTCTGGTTTAGGAACAACAGGCATTTGCTACTCACACTTCTTCTGGAGGCTGACTTCAGCAGAATCTGTCTTTGTTGAGGGCCTGTTTATTGATTCTCACATGGCCACCTTCATGCTGTGCACTCACATGGGGAGGATACAGGAGCTCTCTGGAGTCTGATGAGGCTACTGATCATGGAGGCTCCAACCTAATGACCCAAGCACCTACTAAGGCCCCACCTCCTGATTCTGTAACATCAGCAGCCATGATTTCAACGTAGAAACTGGCAGTTGGTCATAAGTATTCTGTCTGTAGAAGATAGATTATAAGGTAGAATTAAAAAGTAGAATTAGAACCTTTCACAAAATTTTTATGAGCCTGAAGAATGAGTATCAAATATAATTGGAAAAAAGCAAATTTTATATTCTTGTGGCTCTTTTGTCCATTTTTGTACCTTAAATTTATGCAGTTGAGTACTATTTATTGTCTTTTGAGTATTATACGTTTGCTTTGCTTTCCATAGACATGAAGCCATTGTCATCTCTGGTACTGAAATGGCCAAACAGATCCAGAAGGAAGTCCAGCAAGGTGTGGAGGCCTGGCTCGCCCTTGGGAATGAGAGGCCTCACCTGAGCATTGTTTTAGTGGGCGACAACCCAGCCAGCCACACATATGTGAGGAATAAGATACGAGCTGCCTCTGCCACAGGTGGGCACTGTTTAGTTGTAGTTGTTCTAAGTGTTTTCTGTTTTTACTTAAAAGTGTGGTAATTATGAATGATAATTATCAGATAAGTGCCATTTGAATAACATATATATTAAAGATTAAGTACCAAAGTTCACATTCATTTCTTACTATTTTCTTTAGATTTTTAAATACTGTATAATCAGTGGGATTTCATATTTTACAGATGTGAAGGACTACTTCACATTTAAAGGGCCCAGGGGCCGGGGATTTAGTTCAGCGGTTTGGTGGCCTGCCTTGCAAGCGCAAGGACCTGAGTTCAATCCCCGGTACAAAAACAAAAACAAAAACAAACAAGCAAACAAACAAAAAAGGGCTTACATTTGTTACATTTGCATTCAACAAAGAGAAAATCTCACTAATTTACTCTGTCCAACTTGGCCTAGTAGTATCTATGGTATTTCTACACTCTTCAAATCTGCTAATGGTATGTTACATTGCTAAAATTAGTGCAAATTTGCTTCTCTGATAGTAGCCAAAGAATGCATGCAAGTTATGAGAAAGCACCTAAACTACTTGAGAAATCTCTTGTGCATGGAGCTTTGTCTTTGTAGGAGGCTTTCATTCCAGTGGACAGGGGAACATTCAACCAGTCACACACTGTGTAATACACCATTCTTGAGAAGCCACATCTTGGTTAGTCCATTGACTTTCTCTGCTTGTTTTTCTTGCAGGTATCTGTAGTGAGCTCATTCTAAAACCTAAGGAAGTTTCTCAGGAAGAACTTTTGGATATAACCGATCAGTTGAACATGGATCCCAAAGTCAGTGGTATATTAGTTCAATTACCACTTCCAGGTACATAAGGCTCTTCTATGTATCTCTTTTGGTTAGGAGAAAGGGCATCTTTCAATATGATATGACAATAAAGGTAATTTGTAAAATATATTCAGGAGGGGACTAGCTGTTATATAGTAATGGGCAATAAGTAAAAATTCCAAATGATTTATGCTTAGTATTGAAAAAGTATGAAATAAAATTTAGGCATTGACCATGTATGCCCTTCTTGCTTTACATAGTGGTGTGTGCTCATTAAAATGATCTTAATTAGTGGGAATGAAAATAATTTTTTGTGACTTTTAAAAATTTTTGTTAAAGATTGGAAATTCTCTCACTGTTGTTTTCAAATGTATAATAAAATAAAAAAGTAAAACAGCATTTATTTAATGTACTATAATTCCAAACAGTAGAAATGTTGAGAACTAAAGTGATTGTTTTGCAGAAACACCAGGTGTAGCTTGAGTAGTGTTTGCCTTCTTAATCACTGTATAACTTATGGCATGGGGGAAGCACCTTTTCAGAGAATTGAATTGTCACATTCTTCTGTAAGTTTGGCTCAGGTTCCAACATTTTATCTTTTGTACTATCAGTGTTGTGAAATAGCACTGAGCGAGAATTCCTTAAGGTGAAGTCTGTACAGGTGGCATATCCTGCAGGACACTGTCAGTCCTTTATTTATGAGGATCAGTTGACCTTCACTGTTTGTCTGGCTGTGTAACTACCTCTCTTCAAAGGCACACTGCCAGTATCCACAGTCCATGATACACCTATTATTGTCATGCAGTGAGAATCTGATTGAAATGACTTATCTTTTTATGTTCATCGGTCTTTTTCAGTGTAGTTCTTCCCTTTGTTTCATGAGCCTCAGGGTGCTTGCTCTCACCATTTTTCAGATCTGCTGCAAACATACATCTCACTTCCAGCATGAGCATGGTTTATGTCTTTGCTATACTTTTATCTTTGTAGGTAATCCCCTCTGTCGGTGACCCACTTTGTAAGATACCGTGAGGATTGATCTGCATGTGAGATGTGGAGACCACACAGGCTGCTGTACATGTTTGAAGTGAATAGTAAAAAAGCAGTGCACAAGCACTAGTGGTCTATGAGAGAGGGCTATGATTGGTAACTAATTGTGACACACATCTCTTGTTCATATGGTGATGTTTGGCCTACAGAGCCAGCAACTCTGATATAATTGCAGTTAATACAGTGTGACAGCTGAAATTTGAACTATGTTGTTAGAGAACTGGTGTTACTCAACTAAATTGTGATTCTGAAATTTGTGCATATTTAAAGTGTGCAGAGTGATGGCTGCTGGTATAGTATAGATTACAGTAGCTTTGAATTCTGTAAGTATTGATCAATAATTGTATGACATACAGAAAGCAAAGCTGTGTGATGCTATTACATGGGATCGTTATATGGTAGTAGTATTTTCCTCTGTCTAGTGATATGATACCTGATATCTGTTATAGATTTGTGCTATTTAAATCATATTAAATTTCACATTTCTAGTCCTTTTCCTGAAATATATTTGCAATTAAAATTATGATCAGATTGGAAGGGACCTTGGAAATTATCAAGGTTTCTCTCAGAAAAATGCTCTAACAGATTATGTTGTAGATTGATCATGTTAAAATTAATGTAGTGATATATCACTTACTTTTAAAACTAGAAAAATAATTTAACACGTGCAACATTCTCATTTTGCATCATAAGAAATCGAGACTTACAGAAGATTAGGAGTTTATTAAAATGACAAATCTCTGTAGGAAGTTTTAGCAGTGCTTAGCAATTCTTTATCTCATGCCAAAAAAAAAAAAAAAACTATTTTTGGTATTATATTTGCCAAGTAGTCGTTTTATAATTTTCAGGTTTTGGAACTTCCCTTTCTGGCATGTTTATAAGATACAAATAGTTTTATAAGCCATATCACAATGAATTTTAATTCTTAAAATTCCGTACTAATACAGTGATCTATGGATTTATTGTAAGCCCCATCAAAATTCCAGTGGTCGTTTTTTTGTTTACAGAAATAGAAAATACAATCCTAAAATTCATCTGGAACCACAAAATACCCCCAAATAGCCAAACCAATCTTAAGGAAAAAGAATGTAGCTGGAGGCATCACATCACCTGATCTCGATGCTATAGTAATCACAGCAGAACAGTACTGGCTCAGATAGAGACATATAGATCAGTGCATCAGAATAGAGCCCTGCAATAAATCCGTACTCAAGATCAGCCAATCTTGATGAAGGTGCCAAGACTACATATAGGGAAAAGGACAATGACATTAGGGAAATCGGATACCCACATGCACGGGAAGGAAATTAGACCTTATCTCACCCATTATACAAACACCAACTCAAATTCTTAAATGTGATCTGAAACTGTAAACTAGTGAGGAAAACTTATAGAGAAACATCCTGACAATAGTCTGGGTCAAAAACACAGATAATAAGAGCAAAAATAGGCAAAAAGGATTGTATTAAACTAAAGCACGTTTACACAGCATAGGAAGCAATCAACAGAATGAAGAGACAACATACAGAAAGTAAAAATATTTGTGAATCATACATCTAATGGATTAATATGCAAAATATATACTATGTAGGGAACTCAATTCAGCAGCAAGAAAACAACCTTATTTTTAAAATGTGCAAAGGGCCTGAATAGATATTTCCCAAAGAAGACATATAAATGATAAACACACACTAATGATTAGGGAAAAGCAAATTTAAACCATAATGTTAATGGTATATGAAAAAATGCTCAACTGCATTAGCATTAGGGGAAATCAAATTAAAACCACAGTGAAGTAGGATGGCTACAACCATGAAAGTGAAAAGTAGATGTTGGCCAGGATGTGGAGGAAAGGGAACCTTTGTGCATTGTTGTTGAGAATGTAAACTTGTACAGCCATTAGTGGAATCAGTGTAAAGGTTCCTCACAAAATTAAGACTAAAACTACCATATGTTCCGGCACTCCCACTCTTAGGTGTATATACAACAGAAACAAAATCAGCTTGTCAAAGAGACAGCTATCTGTCTCGCCATGTTCACTGCAGCATTCTTCACAGTGGCAAAGTTAAATATCCACCAGGAGATGAATGAATGAGGAAAATGCGGTACACACACAGAAGTGAATACTACTTCCCCAAAGGAAGTACATCTTGGCATTGTGACAGCAGGGACAAACATGGGGCATATTATGCTAAGTGAAACAAGTCAGGCATGGGAGATTGGTATGCATGGTTTCACTCATGAACGTCACACTCGTGGAACCAGAGTACAATGGTGTTTACCAGAGCCTGGGAACCAGGGTGTTTGTATATGGAGAGGTTGGCCAGAGAATGCAAAAATTGGGGTACACTTGATAAGTTCTTGATAAGTGGTGACTGTAGTTGATAACACATTATAGACTGCGAAAGTAGATTTTTACATATTCTTACCACAAAAAAGTAAGTGTATGATATGTTGGCTATGTTAATTAGATTAATTTAGCCATTTTATAATCTAAGTATTTCCAAACCATGTTACCAAAAATAATAAATGTCATTTTGTCAATTAAAATTTTTAAGAATTTCCAAAACTATTATATTCAGTTTGTGAGAGATTTCTAAATACATTAGATTTAATTCATCTTATCAAAATCAAATTTTTATCTGTATAAATTTCACCCTTTTATAAGCAAGTCCTCCTTTGGTGACTTTATTATCCATTTGCCAGTAGATGGCACTGGTGATCTGTCTGTACCAGAGACATCTCGAGTCCTATTTGATTTCTGGGTAACAAGCATAGTTAGAGGGACCATAACAAATGTTAGGTGCTCTGAGAAAGGGTAGTTTTCTGTCTAGCTGAAAAGCCAGTAGCATATATACAAAATAACAATGGCTAATGTGTATTACATTAAGAATTAGGCACTTCACATTTATTTACTCATTGAATCCTCAATAGTCTTGTGGAGTTGGAGCTGTTATATGTTTCCCTGATGCAGTATTAAAGACAATCAGTAGCTAACGTCCCCCAAGATTACTGAACTGAATGATTGAGTTGAATCTAGGCCAATGCCCAAAATCGTTAGCACCCTCCTCAGTGGGTCGGTATTAGCTATGCTGAATGTGAATGTTGGAAACACATGTGCTTGCCTTGCAGTAGTCTAAGAGGCGGTATAATGTAGCACAAATTCTGAAGGCAGACTCTGGTATCACATATCCTTGGTTTGGGTCTTGGCTCTCTCATTTACTCACAAGTGATATTGCTCAATTTATTTCTCTGGGTTTTAGGCCCCCTCCTTCTAAAATGAAAAACATAATTCCTATCACACAAGGATTTCTGTAGATTAAATAATAAATACGAAGGAGTATGTGCCCTATAATCATACATCTAGATTTCAAATTATTTCATGATTGGAAATCTGATATTATTTTTCAAAATTCGAGCAAGTAAAAGAAATTCCAAACTAGAATCATAATTCTAATATTGGAAGCCACGTCTGCATGAGTATTAAACAGAGTGTGTAAGTAGTATCCATTTGCAGGGAGGTAGAAGGAAAAAGAGGTAGAATTATGTCCTGTTGAAGGGTGCTAGCTGTGGCACAGGTGGAGCTCTGGTCACGTCAAGAGCTTGTAGCACTGGTGAGGATTGGAAGTGCTGGGATCTGCCTGTGCCTGCCACCCACACTGCTGTTTTGTTGCTCATCCTCATACTGTGGTGGCGTAGGAAAACCCTAGGAAGAGGCATGTGTTCTGTACTGACTGTGTGCATATCCGATCAGCATCAGTAATGGACCATTTGGTCAAGGTGAGAGAAAAGTCATTTGTATTCTTTCTCCTAAGTAGGCATTTTATTTGCTTTTAACTTTTATTGAGTTATGTCTGTTAAACTAGTATTATATTAAAATCCTTTAAATCCTTTATGAAGTCACAAAAAAATAGAACAATGATCTTTTTAAGGACTAGTGATATCCTTTTCAAACTAAAGTAATGAATGGACAATTATAATATCCAGAAGCT